AAAAAGTTGTTAGAAAAACACCATCTCAAGTGTTTTGCATCTCTTCGATCTGCGTTGGTCACATTTTCACTGGTTCCTCGAGCTGCTTCTCACCTCTTCGCCCTTTTCCGCTAAAATCTACCCCCAGGAAATCTTATGTGGATCCTGACTCAAGTGTAAAAAGAAAGGTAATTAGAAAAATGGCACACTGACTGCATATTTGATGATATCAAGATATTGTTATTAATTTTTTAAAAGTGTGATAATGGTATTGTAACTTTAAAAAAAAAAGAGTCCTTTACTTTGGAAATAAATATTGAAATGAGCTATCTGTGAAATGATGCCTGAGATTTAATTAAAATAAGGTGGTGTTGGGGACACAAAATTAGAAGTGAGTTGGTAAGTGTCAAAGCTGAGTGATGGATACGAGGCTTCATTATATGGTTTTCTCTGCTTTTATATATGCCTGAAATTTTCTATAATAAAAGGTTTCTTTGTTTTTGTTTTAAATAACCCGCTCCCTGGGGTGCCCGGATGGCTCAGTCTGTTAAGTGTCTGCCTTCAGCTCAGGTCATGAGCTCGGAGTCCTGGGGATGGAGTCCCGCATCAGGCTGCCTGCTCAGCAGGGAGTCTGCTTCTCCCTCTGCCTCTGCCTCTCCCCGCCACCCCGCCCCACCCCGCTCATGCTCTCTCTCTCTCTCTCTGTCAAGTAAATAAAATCTTTAAAAATAAAATAAATAAATAAATAACCCACTCCTTGGAAACGTGATAAAGTCATCTGCACTAAGATGTTGCTAACTGATAAGGGCAGATGGCAGCTATTTCTTGATGCATCTGCATTTCGTTAAGATTTTATTTATTTATTTTGAGAGAGAGAGTGCATGCGCAGAGTGAGGAGCAGAGGGAGAGAGAATCTCAAGGAGACTCTGGGTGCAGAGCCCTATGTGGGGCTCGATCTCACGACCCTGAGATCATGACCTGAGTGGAAATCGAGAGTCGGATGCCCAACCAACTGAGCCGCCCAAGCGCCCTGATATGTCTGCATTTTAACAGGAGAAAACAGACTTAAGACAGAACAATGACTACAACGATGGCAAGTAGGGCAGAAAGCGAAGAGCAGGGTGGGGAGGGAGCAGGCCACGAGGGAAAAGGCCATGTGAACCAAGAACTCGGAGTACAGTTGGTCTCAATGTTCTGGTTTTCATCTGACCAAGTAGGATTTAATAAAGATCAAGGAAGCAGAGGCTGAGACAAGTCCCTGCCTTTTGTACTTGAATCCAAGAGGCTGATGGGGAGTAAGGCCCGTCAAAGACGAGCAGGGAGGCGGGCTTTGGCAGGGAGAGCCGGCAGACTGCGATGCAGACCCCACCAAGTTCAGCCTGCCCTGTGGGGGGCTCTGAAGCAAAGACAGCCCCTTCGAGGAATCCTACATCAGATGGAGTCAGGCCGTCGTACCACTGCCTTGCTCGGAAATGGGCCAAAGGTGTGACTTTGGCTCAAAAACTGAGGTTTGAGCTAACCTTGACCTTAACCTCCCTCGTGGCAGGGAGGCAGTCAGCTAAGCGCCCTCCCTGCAGCTGGGTAGCTAGTCCTTTCTTGAAGGGAGGTCCAAGCAGGGCCTCCGTGCCGGCCACAACGAGTAGGAGTTTGGGGCCTCTGTTCTAGAAGTAGTAGAAAGCCATAGAAGAGTTTCGGTCAGATGTGATGGGATTTCATATATAGTTCTATATTTAGTAGTGCCTACCGAATCATTCTGACCACAAATATCTGAGGGTCTGTCACGTGCCAGTGCTCTTTGGGTGCTTGGGATGCATGAGTGGACGAAACAAAGATCCCGTTCTAGTGGAGCTTATGTTCTAAGCGAACAAACAACAGGGCACAATAAATATGTAACTACATAGTAGGCGGACCTCTGCTCTTGTGCATGCTCTGTGGGATCAGTATCACCTAGGGATTTGCTAGAAATGCTGGCTTCACCCCAGACCTACTGATTCCAAATCTGCATTTTAACGAGAACCCCAGGAGATTCTTAGGCACAGTAAAACTGAGGCTCCACTCTCAATTTTAAGACCATTTTTAGGGGCGCCTGGGTGGCTCAGTCATTAAGCGTCTGCCTTCGGCTCAGGTCGTGATCCCAGGGTCCTGGGATTGAGCCCTGCATCGGGCTCCCTGCTCAGTGGGAAGCTTGCTTCTCCCTCTGCCTCTGCCCCTCCCCCGCCGCTCATGTGCTCTCTCTCTCTCTCAAATAAATAAAATCTTTTTAAAAAATAAATAAAAATTAAAAAAATAAAAAGGATAGTCTAGGTAGACATCACTGAAAAGGAAAATTTTGATTAAAAACACGACGCAGGGGAGGCCTTTAGCCAAGCATCTGGGCGAGGTATTCCCAGGCAGGGGGCAGAGATATCTCTGGAACCAAGGCTCGAAGCAATGTGTGCCTGCAGTGTTTGAGGAACAGCAAGATGGCCAACTGGGCTGGAGCGGACGAGGCAAAGGTAAAGCGTTGGAAGAAGAGTTAGAAAGATAAAGGAGGTAGGGGTAGGATGGCCACATGGTGCCGAACCTCTGGGGACAGCAAGGACTTGGGCTTCTGTTCAGCAGCATGCAGAGCCACTGCAAGAGCCTGAGCAGACAACTGATAGGATCCATGTCTTTAAAGGATCACCCTGGATATTGTATTCCCAATAGACTGCAAAGGGGCATGGATAGAAGACAGGGAGGCTCTTTGGGGGACACGGGAAGGGGAGGGTACTGCAATAATCCAGACCAGAAACACTGACAGTTCAGATTTGGCTGGGAGCAGAGGAGGAGGTGAGGAGGGGTTAGATCCTGGATAATTTTTTCAGGTAGCTCCAATATAATTTTTTGATGAGTGAGACACAGACTGTGAGAAAGAGAGGAGCAGAGGAGAACTCCAAGGTTTTTGGACTAGTAATTGAAAGAGCAGAAGTCTATTCAACTGAGAAGAGGAAGGCTCTGGGTGGAACAGGTTTTCTGGGGAAAAGATCAAAGAATCACCCTTGGCATGAGGGAGATGAACGTCTAGCACATCCAAGAGATGATCAGGCAGTTTCGTGAGTGTGGAGTTGAGGAAAGAGGTCTACTAGAGAAGTAAATTTGGGAGCTGTTAGTCATTCTACTGAATGTGGAAAGTCATCTAAGAATAGGACTAAATATAATGAACTGCTATGCTTGTGGGTCTGCTGGCTATCCCAAAAACTTTAGTCCATAATACAGCTGATTTGGAAGTCACTGTGGCACGAACTATTTCTGTACATCTCTCCTGAGTTGTGATCCAAGTTCAGGGGCATAAAATAGTGAATGCATTTTAAATATGTTTCTTAAAAATAGTTCTTAAGTGTAAATGCAAAACAGAAAGAAACTCATAGAAACCAAAATAGCAAATAGAAACCAGAATAGAAACTCTGAAAATAAAAAAAAAGATGGTCATCTAAAATCAACCACATACTTTTTAATTTCCACTGGAGAAGGGACAAAATCCATTGATGACACCCCCTCAAAGAGTTCTACTAAATTAACTAGAAAATGAATATATTTTTATTTAAATCTAGTACAAATTAACTTTATGTAGAGCATCATAGCAGTTAGTAACAGAAAGTGCTATACCGAGCTAAATCTTTACATATATTATCACCTTATTTAATCCTCAATTCTGTTAAGATTGTACCCATTTCACATATGATGGGACCGATATTCAGAGGTTAAATATGTGAGCTCACATGCTTAATAAGTACCCGTGCAGAGATCCAGCTCCAAGTCAAATGAGAACTACTTGCAAAATTCAAACAGCACAATTTAAAAATGAAATCTGAAGAAGTAACATTATTTTATTTTCAAATAAAAGATAAAGTGTTTCTTTTAGAAAAGATGAAATGTTTCTATGCATCCAACTTTCTATAGTCAACAGATCCTTTGCAAAACATTGCTGGAATGTCATCTCCTTCATCTTTAAACAACAACAACAAACTAGCCCCCAACCCCGTGATTCATGATTCCCATTGTAAATAGGACTTTTCTTGCTGATTGGTACTGATGACTGAATCAAAAAATGAGCAAGTAATTTGGTGTTCGTTATCTGTACTTTCAGATTTTATCTGCAGCAATGATTAGGTAAAATAAGGAAACGTACTGTCAATGATTTATTAAAAATTTATTTCACGTAATAAATTATATAATTCATTTTTATTTTTAAACAGTCTACACCAAAAATATTTTTTGAAACATCTTTTTCTTTTGGTAAAACATACAGAGTAGCCGGCTGACATCAGCTTCAATTCTAGTAGGTAGAGTCCCCTCACAATTACACAGTGAAACATAGCTGTTCTTCACATTTCTCTAAAAGATCAAGTTGACACCGCTTGATAAAAACAAAACAGTATGAACACTTCCAGATTTTGCCTAAGGCCTTAGATTGACCTGAATAGTAGATGGGATATTATAAAGATATATTCATTAGCCCTGAACTCATCACCTGACACACGTACACACCATACGGCCGAAGGAGCAGGAAAGCAAGACGAAAGGCACAGAGGGACGCAGTGGGGACGTCTAAGACCTGTACGCTAAGTGCGGCTGCAGAATCAACACAACGTGACAGGAGAGGAAAAGCTGCTTCCGGGAATTTTTTTTAACTGCTAACAGCATATATACAGTTTTTATCAAATTATGCAGAGGGTACCTAACTTCTGAGATGACCAGGACAAGACAGATTATTTTTTCGTTCCAATATAAGGTCAACCTCATGAACGTAAAACCTAACAAAATCATTTAAGGGCTTGGGAGAAATCAGGACATCTTAGGAAATGGGAGGAGAAACCCCAAGCTTTGTGTGCACCAAACGTGTACGTATGCAAAAACCTTTCTCTGAGTGTTACACGAACGAGACTCACCAGTTTGCTGTAGTTATTGTCAAGTGTTGGCTATTCTCCTCTTTGAAAGGACACAAGAATTTTACTCTCACAATGACCTATTAATTTCAAGATTAAAGTAATATCACTGGCTTAAAAAAACTGTCTTTATTTCATTCAAATTTTACTAAAGCCTCTCATAGGCATACAGTCTACAAATGAAAACACAGCCTATAGCTCAGGCCCGATGACAGTCATGATGGGGTGCTTACAGAAATAGAACCACAGGAAAGTTATGTGCTGGGGAGAAATATCAGAAAAAACTTCATTTATATTTAAATTTACCATTCTGTATATCAAGTGCCTATTAGCTGAACAGAAACTGTATTCAATAATTCATATTCTGTAACTTCATTCAACTAATACAAAAAGCTAAATAGAAAGATTTATGGTTGAACACTGAGCTCCTGAGGCTGGTATCACATATCATTCCCTGATAAGAGTGAGAATTCATCAACAGAGGACATAAGAGCCAAACTGAGAGCTGGATTTTAAAATACCTTTCCCTGCTGTGCGTATAAGTAACACACTGTGTAGTGACCTAAAGAATATTTTGTGTTACTCAATTTTCTTTTCTGGGAAGGCTACCACAGTCCAATGACTTTAAAAACCAAACTCCAAAACTCTACCTGAGAGCCTTAATAAGGGCAGTTGGATCATAAAGACGGGTCATCTTAGTCGTGATTGGAAACCGGATCGCCCCATTGCCCCTCTGCCATAGTTCAAGGGTAACAAAGGCCAATTATGAGGTTTACCGATCGGTACTAGCAATTTAAAATGAATAATTGTACGTATATACTTTTTTACACTTATATGTGGAAGTGGGCGAGAGTGAGCAAAAACGACCCTGGGGTGGGAGCGAAGGCAAGCCTGAATGTGCAGAATCTACAGCACCCCTTCAAAAACTCAGGAATTCCAGGACCTCAAGGTCAAATTTAAACCATCAGGAATAGCACTGTTATTCCAAAACCCCTGAAGAGAAAGAATAATAAAAACTGCAGCTGATTTTATGCGCCAGGAATGAAATGTTACAACACATCCATCATTCACATGTGGGTTCATGTAATTTATCTTCAATTAGAATTATTATCTATTCAGCAGCTGAAGCCCAAGAACTGCTGATACACTACAGATGAGAAAACATTTGCTGGTCTCTCGGCTCCGGCCTTCTCAAGCTAAATGATGATCACACGGTATAGATCACTTGTTCCAGAAACCCGGCCTGGCCCCCGCGTCCAGGAAGCTGCGCCACCAGCACCGAGCATCTGCAACATCGCTCCGTTCCCTCCGGCAGACTCGGGTCTACAACTCGGTCCCAAATTCACATAGAAAACCCCACACCACCTTTTAATCCAGGATTTCCTCCTCTGGAATGTGTTGTTATAGCTATTAGAAAAAGATATCTAAAATACTGGAACCCCAAAGATACAATAGTTTAAAAGTAACTTTTACAATATTGATAATTAAGTACTTTATCTCAACAGTCTCGACGTCCAAGGTGGTCAAGCTAGTGTCAGAGTATTTTAACTTACACACTGATGGGAGCGCTATCTGTCTGAGTTCATGTGTGAGATGGTTTACGCGACCAAATCGACAGGGAAAAACACAACCCAGAAACCAAGGCTGCATTCTCAACTGCAATGTTTTCAAAATCATGTTCAGTGGGATGTCAGAGTAAGTATTTAATTGAAAAAAGGGTTCCACCTTTGGATAAGGACACATTTAAGTAGGCTTCCAAGGAATTCTCAGAGCCTGTAATATGCCAACAGGTAGGTTTACGAAGGCCCAAAATGATCTGCCCATGGAACACTTTATCCCCTGAGCATCTCATAGGAATACCGCTCCACCGAGCACGTCTTGAGAAATATGGCTTTGGCATTTTGGTGTACTCAAAAGCTTCACTAATTCCTCAGGCTTTGAGACATTAGTCTATTTCTTAAAAATAAGCAACAAAAATTGTTATAGCCAGTAAAGCTGGAATACCAGACTAAGAAAGTGAGCATGTGGGAGGGGGGAGGACGGGAATACACCTGTTTAGCCTACTACATCATTTTCACCTCCCTAGCAAAAATATGTTCAAAAATACCCAGGTTAACCACTCTTGATAACGGCTGTGCACAACACCTAAACAAACCGATATGCAGAGCCTGCTTAAAGCAAAAACAGTAGAATAAAGTTTTCACTGGCCCAAATGGAAAAATGCGCAAGGGCCACAGAATCTCATGTTTAGAACGGGTAACCCCGGTTATCACTTAAGAATCTAACGCTGTACAGTTTGATAACATTTATAGAGCTCTCTTCTTTGAAGCACTACTGTTGCTGTGGGAAACTTCACTTGAGGAGTTGGTTCAGAGTAGTACTTCCTCGACCTCAGTATTATTGAGATTTGGGGCTTTGTCCTGGGAAGTTGTCTCCTCCACTGTAGAATGCTGAGCAGTAGCACCCCTGGCCTCCACCCCTGGATGTCAATAGCATTCCACAAGTTGTGACCACCAAGAATGTCCCCAGATGTTGCTTCGATATAAGCAAATCATCCCCAGTTGAGAAGCACTGCTACTGCGTGAAAACTAAAGCTTACGCCTGGACTCTGCTTCCCTGGGGAATGTCCATTTCACAGGCAGACCGTGACTTACACACATCAACCTCTTGTAAATAGTAGCACTAGATCATTCTAAATTCTCTGTGGCCAGAAACATAAGTAATTTGTGAATGGTAGAGAATGGTTAGGAGGAAGCAGTTTACACATTTCAAAAAGAATCAGAAGTAATTTTACTGTCACATTAGTAAGAATTATCTGAATCATAATGCTTAATTGACAAATATTCTAACAAATAGAAAAATCCTAATTGTATTTTATCTGTTAAGGATCATAATGATTGAGGCAGTCTAAGAAAAAAAAAAAACGTAACAGTCATCAATGGCTAGCTCAGACCACATTCTGTATCTTGACCAAATATTCTCCATGACATCCTCAATTCAGAAACCGCAAGCGTTATCTTTAAACTGCTTATTTGTACTGCAGCCTCATCACTTCTCTCAAATGATCAAAAAGAAACCGTTCACATGTCATGAAGAATTCTGGTACGTGTCAAGAAGCACATTATCTAGTTTTAAAGCCATTTCTTCAATATCCACATCTTTAGTTGTGTCGTAATTGTCAACTCCAGATGCATTACTCTCTTTCTTTTGTTCTTTCCTTACTGTCTTTAAACACTTGTCAAGTCTCTTCATGAACAAGTCCACATCCTGTGTCTTCATTCCGATGGCCGCTGCAGCATTGAGGTAAGCGCAAGGGTAATGATTTGCATGTGACATAAAGCCTCGGAAAGTGTGGCCACTCACGGTTTGCACAGACCCAAGAGGCACAACCCTGAAAGAGAAAAGATTTACTATGTCTGGTGATGTTAACAGAATATCACCCATAGACAACAGATTATCTGTGTTCCTAAGCTTTAGATCTACTGATAAAGAAGTTTAAAAACAGTCCATAAATCATGGCCTATGAAAACAGACGGTGGCAGCCTTAAAATAAAATTACACAATACACGGCTATTCTCCGTAGAAGAGTGCTGCCTGGAGGTGACCATTTACTATCTTCCATTAAAGAGCTGTAACTTCTAGGAATCACAAATACTTTTGAACCTTCTTCAGAGAAAAAAGAAGAAAATTACTTGTTTTTGTACTAAATATGGAATCTGACTTCACATATATGGAATCTGACTTCACACATATATCCTTCAACGGGATACTGAAATTTCTTAAGTCAAACCACGTTGACTAACTGCCGTGTATCACCTCCAATAATCAACAAGCTGAAATTACACCTGTCTGATCTGTGCTGTGCAATGGAGGGTTTTAAAAGTAAGGATCCAGCAAAAATTCCGTGACTGCTTACAGTGGTGTGGTGGTCAGTAAGCGGTGATACCTGGCAATGGCACGTGCATTTTTTTAAGCTTGATTTCTTTGGCATACTTGATATAAGCAGATTTCTAACAGTACTTAAAAAAAAATAAGATCAACCTAAACAAAAAGACAAATAGTGGCAACGCTAAAAGCAAGGCCAAGAAAACCATTTTAGAAGCGTCAAAACTATGCTGTATATGGATATAGTTCATCAAGGTAAAAGCTGAATTAATCTAAGATTTTTTTTCTTTTAAAAAATTGTCCTTGATGTGAAATCTCTAGTCTCTGGTAGTCAGAGAGAAATTCTTTAATAGAGGCACGTAAAGAAGAGTACTTAGAGCAAGATATTTCTTTTCAAGTCATTTTTCTCTGACCTCATCAAATATAAAATGAAAAATGAAATTCATTTTTAAGCCATGTACATATAAGAGCAAAAAGTACATTTTTCAAAGGCAGTACTTAGATAAGAATTGCATAACTTTTTGGTTCAGGAAATGGGCTTTTCCTTAAAAATGTTTTCATCTGAATTTAGTAATGAAGACGACTTATTTCTAGCACCACAACGTGACACCACTGAAGATGATCGAACAAAGGAAAATAACGATGAAAATCTGTACAGAGAGGTGATGAAACTTTGTTTCTGTATGTCCATGAAAACAGACAAGGTCCCTATCCTTCTGAGACTGCTTCAAGCGTGGGCCTTCCACAGGTGGGCCATCACAGCCTTACACACTCTCCACCTCATCGTTCCTCACCCATGATGAGCTCTCAAGCTCAGCATATAGCTGGGGGACAACTGTTCAGGAAAAAACACTTTATTACAGTTAACTTTTTGGAAAAGCCAAATAAATCCAGGCCTCTTTCCCACATACCTACCTGGCTCCAGAAACCTGTCTGGTAAAAAGCATTGAGCCAAGCTGAGTGATGGCTCTGTCTTGGTGTTCACCTAGTGTCTTAAGTGTCACAGCTGAAAAAGAAAAAAGGATCCCAATGTACCTTGGTTCACCAGCACAAAATCACTCAAAAAATAAATACTTAATGATGGAGACCCTACTTTTGTGTGTGCGTTAAAATACGCGTAACATCAATTTACCACCTTAACCATTTTCAGGGATATTAAACACAGTCACACTGTTGTGCAACCATTCGCACCATCCATCCCCGTAACTCTTTTCATCCTGCAAGACCGAAACACTGTACCTCCTCAACAATAACTCTCCGTTCTCCTCTCCCCTACCCCGACCCCCTGGCAACAACCACTCTAGTTTCCGTCTCTAAGATTCTGACTACTCTAAGTACCTCGGACAAAAGGAATCATACACTCTTTGTAACTGGCATGGAGACATTACTTTTTATTCATTGTCAAGTGGCATGATTCCATTTTAATGTACTTAATACATTACAGTAAGGATCTGTTTGCATATCAGACAAAAAGATGTTAATACAAAGTAACCTACTCAGAACCAGAACAGAATTTCCCTCTCACCTTTCTAAAGAGTGAACTTTCCAATTAAAGATGGAACACTGACACGATCAATATGGCAGTTTATTAAAATTCAACCATGTTTTGAGACCTTATAAAATGAAAGTGTGGGATATTTTCAGTATATATGTAAGACTAAGTAAGATCAACTTCTGCACATGAAAATGAGAATTATCTTTCTGAGGTTATGTGGGTAAACTATATTCTCACCACCACCACTAGCTACCATCTCCTGAGGATTGACTTACCATACTAGGTACTTTACAATCTCAACTGTTCTTTTTTTTTTTTTTTAAGATTTTGCACTGAGTGCAGAGCCGGACCTGGGGCTTGATCTCACAACCCTGATATCATGACCTGAGCCGAAATCAAGAGTCGAACGCTTAACCAACTGAGCCACCCAGGTGTCCCTCAACCATTCTGTAACTATGCGAGGGATCATTATCTCCATTTTATAGATGGGGGAAAGGAGATGAGAGGTTAGTACATGGCAGAATTGGGATTCAAACCATACCATATCATCTTCTACAACATCTACATAGATTATAAACCAGCAAAGGACTAACTAGGGTGGGCTTTATTATATATCAGTGGTAAATGATTTTCCATGGAAGCCGATTCCTAAAAAAGGCTTCAGTTACAAGTGATTGATTCCTTACTTTCCTTAGATATACATGAAATATGAAACATGTTAGACTGTATGTATTCACAAAAGGGATAATCATGAAACTTAAAAGTTAAATGCACAGGGGCACCTGGGTGGCTCAGATGGCTAAGCGTCTGCCTTCGGCTCGGGTCATAATCCCAGGGTCCTGGGATCAAGCCCTGCATCCGGCTCCCTGCTTGGCGGGGAGCCTGCTTCTCCCTCTCCCTCTACTGTTTCCCCTGCTTGTGCTCTCTCGCTCTCTCTGTCAAATAAATAAAATCTTTAAAAAAAAAAGGTTAAGTGCATAAAAGTCAACATTCATATTAACCTGTTTAGTAGGCCTTGTACTATGTGACAAAAATATATAGTCCTTATACAAAGGAAATTATCATAAATACAGAGTTCTCTAACATAAAGGCACTCAGGAAAACAATCATAGCATTAAAAACAATATAGATCTAATTTCTAATATTATGGTGTTTTGCTAACTGGTAGAAATTTTTTAAAAATTTTTACAGAGTTCTTGGGCGCCTGGGTGGCTCAGTTGGTTAAGCGACTGCCTTCGGCTCAGGTCATGATCCTGGAGTCCCTGGATCGAGTCCCGCATCGGGCTCCCTGCTCAGCAGGGAGTCTGCTCCTCCCTCTGACCCTCCCTCCGCTCATGTGCTCTCTCTCATTCTCTCTCTCTCAAATAAATAAATAAAATCTTTAAAAAAAAAAAAAAATTTTTACAGAGTTCTTTACTAGTGACTAAATTATTATTATTTTGGTTAGAAGCAGGAGTTAAAGTATAATTTTCTGTATATGCATTATAATACTTAATATTGATTTGGATTCTTTTCAGTGTATACTTTTTATCTCAGAAATACATTAAAGCATTCTTAAAGGCTAAACTTTTTCAATTTCCAGATTAATACTGTAATGAATTTAGAAACATCCTTGTAACCAGAAAGAATCCATACTCTTTCTAGAAATACCAGCTCCCTGGGGAGGGTTAAGGAGCACTGATTTTTTTTTCCTTAAGAAAAATATATTACCTAAAGATATAGGATTGTGAGGTGTATGCAACAGCCTTTCATTGTAGTTTTCTGACAGCTTCTTTAGTTGGCTGGACAAGTATGAAAACATCTCCTGCAACAACAAAATGTTACATTTAAAGGAAATCAAATAAATGCTTACTGCAACCTGCCAGATTAAATAAGACAAAATCCGTCTGGTGTGATGTCTGTGCTGTAAATTAACACATCTACGTGCTCTAGGAGCAATTCTTTCCTTTGATGACACAATACAATGAGATTCGAAGCTGCCACAACTATCAGAAACCACAGGATTTAGGTAAAGAAGGCAAAGGAATAGCACATTTCCTGCCTGGGGGCTATTATGTATCTATCACAAATCCATCCTCTTTTCAGAACCTCCAGGGTGACCACTCTAGTCCAAGCAGCCATCAACCTGTTCCCTGGACCACGGCCAAGATTCTAAACGATTTCTCTACTAGCCTTCCTGCCCCTCTACAATCTGTTCTACATGCAGAGGCCCTGCATAGTCTCTGAAAAGCATAATGCAGACCATGTCCCTCCCGATGACTGACTCCCTTCTGTAAGGATTACCTAGAAGGCCCCAAATGAATAGCGTGGCCAACATAGCCAACTGGGCAACTGTCACCCCCACATTTAGGACAGCACTGGCCACATCAGCCTCCTTTCCAACTGCTGAACACGCCAAGCTCCTTCTAGTGCCAGAACCTTCATGCCTGCTTCCCCTGAACTCAGACAGCTCTTCTCCAGCAACATTCCATGGGACCTCCCTTCATGACTTCCCTATTAATGTACTCCCAATCTCCCTCCAACCACTACATATTCTGGGTTCTCCACTATACTTATCACAATCTGAAATTACCTCATTTACTTGCTTAAATGAGTACTCACTGTGACTACCTACTCAAAGGAAAACTTGAAAGCAGGGACTTGGTGTTCTTCACTACTGTTTTCCAAACACCAAGAAAAAATGTGCCAGACTTTTCATATGTAAGTAACTTAGGAAAAAGTAGTTTAAAATGCATTTCCTTTAAATTGCACAAACTCAAAATTAACAATTCCCTCAACTCAAAAGAATACAGGAACTAAAAATGAAAAGTTGTATTCTTGGTCCTACTCTGGAAAATAATGCATATCTAATAGTAGAAAATACAATAAAAATATTACATACATGTGCACATGTACGTAAGTAGTTTCACAAAGTTTACAAAATATTGTAAATAAATATTAAATTGGCAACTGTTTGACCTAAAATTATACTTTCTTCTAGTAAGTTCTTTATAAAGTGTTAAAATAAAAATCTGCCCAAATAAGTCTTTCCTGAAGAAGCCCATTTGCACTGACCTCCTCCAAGTCATAGTCAAAACACATAAAACTCTAAAGATACACCAAAGAGCCAATGGCCAACAGAGTTGGACCCAAGTAAAGACAGTAGGAAATGATATTTCTACTTCAAAGGCCACAAAAACTGCTTCCATTTTCTCTAAGGTAAAGGTTAGATAGTCTGATCCTACTAAATCCTTCTTTTGTTAAGATCAAGAAGAAGAAAAGCCTACCAAGTTTGTTAATTATTAATGAGTCTACTTAAGATCACAAACATTTTTACCCTTGTCAACATGGTATATTTTATACTCTGGCCTGAAAAAATATGTAGTTATACCAGTTATATAATATATAGTTAGCTATTTCCAAAAAAAGAGGAAATGTTTCCTTACTAACACCCCTAGAGGGTGCTTTTAAACTTACTGATGCACACATGGCTATTAAAAAACTGAGATTTTCCTAATATTCCATTTCTAATAACAAATCAGTTTTAACCGGTTCTAGTAATCACTTCCTAATGCCACTAGAATTCAGTTTTAACTGCAGCTAATATCTTTAGACTACAAACATAATGCTAAGGTAACTAAATCTTACATATCACTAGTATGGGAGTAATTAGACAAAAAAGAAAATACTTGTGAGTCAAGTTCACATCCTTCTGCAAATACTCTGTGTGAAGGGTTATGAGAGGTAATCCAATAAGCAAAGAAGCTTAAATATCTTAATGCACAATATACTGAATCCTACGATATTTGACAGCTTAAGGTCCCAAATGCTCCCCCATTAATATCACTACATTTAAAAAATATCATTTAGGAGACTGTACCACTATTTCCTACACTACTACTTAGCTAAGCAGTTTTTTCCTGATATATTAAAGATACTACAAAACCTGCACTATTTTTTTGCCACAGTTAAATCTATAACTGACATTTATTATAAAATACTTCTGTAAAGGGAGAAATTTATAAGCACCCAAAGCAAATGTATATAGAAAGATCTTACTTAAAAGAAATGAAATAGTATCGATTTTCTATGTCTTTTGTGCTGTATTTAACTTAATTTTAAAAGATTCTTCACCAGAGATAAACTGAACTGCATACCTGAATGCTAATGTCAGCTGTATTTCTAGAATAAAAATACAAAACTTTACGCCATAGTTCAAGATGTTAATGGAAGGGAAGCTGAATTACATGAAGCATTACCTTTCACAAACTGATCTGCAGTCGTAAAGCCCAACATTTAGCCTCTCCTTCCCCATAACCCCCAAATGTGCGTAATTCACTAAATTTTAAGGGAAAATGTCTTAGGTATCATGTTTTCTGAAACATAATGCTGCATGTTACAAGAGCAGATGAAAAGAGAACTTCGCAAATTATCATAATACGTCTTGGAGGGTCAGTAATAAATCAAAAGTGAAACAGACCAAGTGGTCTAACATGTCCACAATGGCATGAAAGGGCAGACGGACAGGTGACTGGGTACAGCTCCACACACACAGAGGCCCATATGCGCAGACACGTGGCTCTGCCTGTGACCAGCTGACAGGACCCAGGCATCCTCAGCAGGCCGGGCATCTCAGGCTAAAGCACGGCCTCCAAAAACCCTTCTGTCGAGGCCCCACAGCCAGGCCTGAAATGCCACGCTTTTGTTGAGATTCAACAACTCCACTTTTAGGGCGGCAAATCTCCTCATGTTTCCAAACTTAGCTTTGTCATAGGACAGTGTTTGAGGCTGTATGTCTGATGTTCTTCTAGTACTTAGCTTGTCTCCCAGAGCCTCAGCTAACAGATGCTAGCCGCTGGAGCAGCCATCCGCTGTCATTCCTCTTCTGCACTTGTCCAATTCAGCAGCTATTTGCAACAAGGAATGATTACCTGCTTGCCCTGTTCAGCAAAGCACTCTTCTAAAAGGAAAGCTAAGCAGAATGATGGCCTTCTCCAGAAGCAGAGAGAAGTGAGGAGAAACTTCTAAGAGCAATCTTTCTTTTTGCAGAGAGAAACTCATAGAGATGGTGTCTTAAATTTTAACCCCTTTTCTTAAAGGCCTCTTCAGTTAAATTCATGGCCATTTCTCCCCTCGGTGAAGATGTGTGGATCGGGAAGGGGCTGAGGGCAGAGGTTCAATCCACACACACAGTTCCACTCTCTCTGATCCTTTCACCCTTCAAAAAAGAAGGCTTGAGAAGGAATGGCTTCAAGCTGAGTTCTTGTCTGCCTCTACTGTGAAAAGATAAAGCCTTTTCTGAAGAGATATACTAGATGAAATAACCTCTAAAAATATCATTGTGATGAATAAGGGCACAGCATTATAAAAAAAAAAAATCCTAAGTTTTCTTTTAACACTCCTTTTTGGTACACAATAACACTGATAATATAAAAAGGAGCTCTCAGTGATGGTATATAAATAGCTCTGGCTGAAGCAAAAGAGCTTTACGTCAGCTTCTCCAGAGCTGAACCAATAAACTATCACGATTAAATTTTCACAGTTCAAGAGCAAGTCCGTTTAAACAAAAGAGGCCCTTACTTCTGCAACAAATCCAATAAAAAAACAATATTTATGCCACATACATGCAATTACGGTTTATCGAGGACACCCACATTTTCCAATGAAAAGATCTGCCTGGTGAATGAAGTTGTTAAAGAGTAAACTTTTATTCACTTACAATGACAGAGTTCTCAAAGGAGCACTTTACTACTTTGAAGATTACTTCAGGTAATCTCTAAGTAAAGTCTATGCAATGAATTTTAAATAAAATCAATTAATATATTAGAGCCTTTGGGGTTTTACATACCTCCAGTAGCTAAGAATAGAGGCTCATGAGATCAGCATTTTTATGGCTCCAGTGCCCAGCCCAGAGCGGGAAAGCACTCCCTCAATGCTGGATGAGTGACTGGAAGCAGCGAGAAGAGAGTGGTGAGACATGAAGCGCAGAGGCTTTAGAATCACACAGACCTAATCAGACAGTGGCAGCTCTGGCACTTTTTGTGCTCTCTGGATAAGTACTTAACACCTCTGAGCCTCAATTTCATCTGTAAGATGGGGATCATACCTACCTCATAAACTTGCTTTAAGTAGTACATGAAATAATGAGTGTAATAAACCCCACAGAGCTCCTGGCACACAACAAACATTCATAAAAATGCTCGCTTTCCACCCACCTACTGTTCCGTCCTAAAAGAGTTTTCAGGTGGGGCGCCTGGGTGGCTCAGTCGTTAAGCATCTGCCTTCGGCTCAGGTCATGATCCCA